TTATTTTTTTTTACAGAGAGGAAGGGAGAGGGACAGAGAGTCAGAAACATCCATCAGCTGCTTCCTGCACACCCCCTACTGGGGATGTGCCCGCAACCAAGGTACATGCCCTTGACCAGAATCGAACCCGGGACCCTTCAGTCTGCAGGCTGACGCTCCATCCACTGAGCCAAACCGGTCAGGGTGCTTGGTAGTCATTCTTACTGTCAAGATATGTGCCCCTCACTAAAATGCATTAGAATCTTGACAGAATTTTTTCAGATGAGCGTCATCCACCTGGTCAAATAATTCTCTAAAGTATTCTGATTTTTTTAACCTGGGATTTAAAAAGTACAACAAATGAGGTTAATACAGAGTGTTAAAATCAATGTTACTAAATATAACATTAATTAAATAGTTAATCTAAGCAATTATTTTTGTGCAACAAGTCATGAATAATACATGGTGTGATGCTAGTATGATTAACTGCATTTACCACATCGCCAACTCCACTTTATAAGCCAGATAAAATCTACCAAAGTCTGAGAAAGGAAAATGTTTCTCTTCTGCTCTAGTCTTTATCTACTTCTTCCTTCATTGCTCATTACTCTTTTCACTCATCGCTATGACTCATACAATCTGACAAAATTATTATTACTGTTCATCAGAGTTTTAATATCAATTAAGGGGAACTCAGTCTTTCTGTTTTTCTCTATTTTCATATTTCCAGTGCAGACTGTGCATCAACTAGATACTCTTGTTTCTATTTGTTCTTACACAGGAATCATATATATATTTGCTGGCTGCAGGGTAGTGGTGAGAAATTCAAGAAAAAGACGCAGAGTGTGGATTTGAAGATCCACTTTAAACTGTGTGGCTTTTCACAAGTTACATAACCTCTCTGTAGCTTAGTTTCAACATCTGAAAAACCAGCATGAAAATAATAGCAAGAAATGAGATACCCACAAGGATAGCCCTGTGTTCTGTTGGTGAAAATGTAAAATGGTATAGCAGCTATGAAAAACAGTATGCTGCTCCAAAAAAAAAAATTAAAAAAAAAATTACCATATGGTCCAGCAAGCCTATTCATGGATATATATCGAAAAGAATTGAAAGTAGAATCTCAAAGAGATGTTTGACTATCCATATTCACAATAGCCAGGAGGTAGAAGCAAACGTGGTGTTCATCAACTGATGAATGGATAAACCAAATGCAATGGAATATTATTCAGCCTTAAAAGGAAAGACTTTCTGACACATGTTACAACCTGGATGAATCTTGAGGACATTATACTAAGTGAAATAAGCCAGTCACAAAAAGACAACATGATTTCACTTATATGAGGTATGTAGAGAAGCCAAATTCAAAGAAACAGAAAGTAGAATGGTGGTTTTTCAGGGGCTGAGGGAAACAAGAAATGAAAGATTATTATTTAACTAGAGACATGGTGCACGGATTTGTGCATGGGTGGGGTCCCTCAGCCTGGCCTGTGCTCTCTGGCAATCTGGGACCCTGAGGGATGTAGCAGTGCTGAAGCAGCAGGCATCTGGGGAGGAACCCCAACCGGGGCCGGGCGCAGCTCCACTGCCTCTCATCCCGGCCCCACTGCTCCTGCCACCACCACCGCCATTGCAGCTGCACTCACCAGCCATGAGCCCAGCTTCTGGCTGAGTGGAACTCCTGCTGTGGGAGCCCACTGACCATCAAGGGAAGCTCCTGCACCGAGTGTTTTCCCCATGGTGGTCAGTGCGCATCACAGCAACTGGTCAGACAGTC